GGGAACAGCTTGCTATTGCAGAGTTTGCAAGATCGCTTCTTGTTATTCCTAATACACTGGCAGTGAATGCTGCCCAAGACTCCACCGACCTGGTTGCCAAGCTAAGAGCTTTTCACAATGAGGCTCAAGTTAACCCAGAACGTAAAAATCTAAAGTGGTGAGTTTACAATTTCCTGTGTTCTGTTGTCGAGTGTCGTGGGTCTGTTTTAAGTTAAGCACTTGAAGGGACTTGTCACATACTGAAACTTTACAGGCATCATTGTTGATTGGTGCCTGTATGTGTAATGGTGGCTGCTGATTTTTAGCACTGTTGCTTTTAGGTATCGTCTCTGGACCCCACTCCCTGGGTAGTCTGGAGGAAGTCCAAGAGGGTGACCTTAGGTTATTCTCACCTTTTCAGGCAGCCCCTCAGCTTACAGTGAGTGCAGTCTCAGAAGAGTGTCTTTAGATGATTTGGTCCTTCTGAGGACATAAAACATACTCAACATCAAGCCAGACAGCTGTGCTGTCACTAGGCAAAAGAATCTTTTGACTACCAAACTGTACGCACTACTTGAACATAATCTTACCAGTGTGCAACATGTGACTGTGCTAAATGTTTGGCAGATGAGGTTTCTCTGCTACACTACGAGCTTTTCTACTCCCAGAGATAGAATTGTTAGAATCCCAATCTTGTGGACCAGAATAGCTGGAACACACCACTTCAGCTTGGAAGAGGTCATTGAATCACATTTTCACCATGACAGGATTGGCCTTGATTTGATCAATGGGAAACCTCGAGACAACAAGCAAGCGGGGGTTTTTGAACCAACCATAGTTAAAGTGAAGAGCCTGAAGTTTGCAACAGAAGCTGCGATCACCATTCTTCGAATCGATGATCTGATAAAATTGCACCCAGAAAGCAAAGAGGATAAACATGGAAGTTACGAAAATGCCGTTCACTCTGGAGCCCTTGATGACTGATTGGTTGGATTTCCCTTTTATTTATAGCAGTGTCAGACGCCATGTCTTAGCCTTGGGTGTCTCATTAAAGTACAGCAAGCTGACCACCTGGCTTCCTGTCCTCACTTTGGTCCTCTGATTTCACATACTATAGTGTTTCACTGATTTAGCAAGAAGTGTTCAGGGGTGGTGGCTGTCAGGCAGGTCACCCTCTCTGAACACACATTGCTATCCCCATCCCACCCCCAATGCACAGGGCTGCCACACCACGAGTCCCGCCCATTCTCTCAAGGCTGTGTAACAAGGTCACTAGAATCCTACAGCCGGATGCTCCCAGAGGATGGCCCAAGGCAATGGCTCCTCCATCGATGTTGACCTACAGGAGGGGGAGAAGATCAAGTCAGTCTTTGGACACAAGCTAACACCCCCGTTTATCTTTGTCGTCTCAGGGTTATGCTAGCAAACCACCCTTTGAACTCCCACTGTCAAGCTTAGTAAATACTGCTGACGCCCTCACTGTGAAAACAAGTCAACAACACTGGGCAGAAGCAGCCTTAAACTTGGACTGCAAGTTCATTAGCAAACAGCAAAGCTTGTGTTGGTTACCTTCTCGGGGTTTAGTCCGAGTTCTTTAGCTATTGCAACAGAAAGAGCTGCATAGGCTTCATTGATTTCAAACACATCAACATCTTCCAGGGTCCAGCCTGCTTTTGCAACCTACAGGAAGAAAATGAACTGAAGTTAAATCATTTGTTATTAACAAATTCATGATGCATGGGACTCTGGGAACTATGCAGTTAGGTGTGCCATGGTGGCCTCTGACTGTCCTAAGGGTTTAAAAGGTGAACACCGGGCTAAATAATGTTCCCAAAAGAGCACTATGATGAACTTTAATGACAACACCACATTGTGGAAGTTACTCTAGGTAGGGTGGCCTACTTGTAGTGTAGGCACTTAAGAGGCTGAGACAGGACAATTAAATTTGAGACCAGGTTGGGTTGTATAGACCCACCCTCAAAACCAAAAGTCCAGGCTGGAAAGATGGCTCAGTGGTTACAGATCCTGAGTTTAGTTCCCAGTAACCACATGGTAGCTTATAACCATCTATAATGAGATCTGATGCATTTGGGCATATGTGCACACAAAACATGTTAAACAGTACATAAATACACAAAAATACATAAATAAAATTTAGCTGGGTGGTGGTGATGCATGCCTTTAACCCCAGCACTTGGGAGCCAGAGACAGGTAGATCTGTTAGTTCGAGGCCATCGTCTTCTACAGAGTAAATTCCAGGGGGCTTAAAAAGCTACAGAGAAACAGCCTTAAAAAATAAAACCCCAGCCGGGCGGTGGTGGCGCACGCCTTTAATCCCAGCACTCGGGAGGCAGAGGCAGGCGGATCTCTGGGAGTTCGAGACCAGCCTGGTCTACAAGAGCTA